CTCTTCTCACTTCAGGCCCCCAGATGAGAACTTGGCCCTAAATTCAGACCCAGGAACTATGGTCCAGATGGTGCAGAGACACGCCAGCCATTGGCCATAATTCTGGCACGCCTGCCACACTTCCGGGACACAGGCCACACTTCCGGGCCCTAAGCGTTCTCGCGAGATTTGTAATGTTTGGCATAGACACCGCTATAGCTGATGCTGCTGGTTTTCGAACCTTCATGGTAGGAGATGCTAGTTCGGAAGCCAGGGTCCCTGCAGCGTCTGGCTGGGGCAGAGGGCAGAAGGCAGAGCATTCAGGCACCCGGACCAGGGTATTTAGCAAAAGATAAAATCCAGGATGCCCAGTTAAATTCGCATTTCAGATACGCCAGGAACAAACTATTAGTAGATGATACTGACTTTAGTGTAGGGTACTTGTACTAAGATCGTCTCTCACCTGGAATTGGAAGTTCACTGATGCCGTAGTTCAAATGCGTTCAAATGCGGCTGTGATTCCTCAGCCCGCCCCAGCTCCCGCCCTGAGGCAGCCCCAGGAGCTGCTGACTGTTTGCCGGAATTAGGAATTGGGGGATAAAGCGAGAAATACTGAGTCCCAGGGGAAACACCGATGAACCACCACAGCCAGGAACAACTGGAACTCACTAGCACGAGCACGTGCCCTTGACGCATCCCATGTAACTTGAGGACAAAGCTCAACCAGCCCCAAATTAGGTAGCTCTACCCTGGCTCCATCTCTAGTCCAGAACCTAGAAACAGCCCTCCATAAGTATTAACACCCCACAGGAAGGAATTGCTGACTTTTCCCCTGGCGATAGCCCCATTCTCCCTTGAGTATGTATCTACTTTCATAAATAAACCTCTGTCTATGCCTTTGACTGGAGCATGCTGAAAATCCATCACCGTTGGTCGTCAGTTCCCCCTTCTCCCTGGAAACTACTTGGACTCTCCTTCAGAGACAACTTTCCTGCACCCCCAGGGGCGGGGGTTGTGCTGGATCAAGAACATTTAATAACAATTATTTATATTTATATTTAGACTTTTTTCACCATTTACAACAGAATTGTGAAAACAAGCTTGAAACACACAAGAAGAAAAGGCTTCAAAACACACTAAGCCTCAGAGCAGCGAGGCTGGAGGTGTTCATTTTCAGAACCAGGGCCCCTGAGCTCCATGACCTCAGACCCTTTTTTCTTCCTGACCTGTGTATCTGGTTGAGATGTCACAGGTGCACCTGCTGGGTGGTGGCAGGGGAGTCCACAGGCTCTGAAATCACATGGCTTCCTATTGGTTCTGAATGGCTCATTACATAAGCCGTGGCCTGGGCTGTGAATCTTATCTCAGGTGGTTGGTGAGTTTGGGTCAATGAATTTTGTTGTTGTTCTTTTGTTTTGCTCCTGCATTCAGCACAGGGACGGTGCAAAATGAAAGAAAAACAGTGGAAGCCATATTTATTAAACAGCTTAGCAATAGGAAGATCATAGAGGTTAAGAATGACCAAGTTTGAAAGGGAAAGAGATTTACTTTGAATTTACTTACCTCAAATACACTTAAAGTTTGGAATCTGAAAGAGAGAACTGTGTTAATATGACTAGATCGTGGATGATGCCAAGTCCAAGAAAGACTCAGCAGAAAAAGAGGCAAGTTATCAGAGGAAAATGGAGATAATTTCCAAAGCCCAGACCCAGAAAACCATGGACAGTTGCCTTCCTAAAAGCTATAAGACAACTGCAAGACCATCCCACCCCTCTCTCTCTTCCCATGTCCAGACCCCAAGCTGGCATAGTTCTACGGAACCAGAATACAGTTTGGGACAGAATTCACTCAGCACTTAATCAAGCAATTACTAAATACCCAAGCACTATTCAGATAAATCAGAATTGCCTCCTTTTCTGTCTTAGAACTGGCAGATTCCTAGGAACTAAGGCAAGAAGTGATTTAAAAGCAAATAAATGAAAAACAGGATAGTGAGAAGAGAGTGGGGGGAGGCTGAAAGGAAGGGTTATTATTTTATTTGAGGAAATTAAAGAAGTCCTGTCTAATAAGGATATTTGAGAGACTTAGAAGAGATAACATGAGCCACAGTCCAGCAGATTGTGTTTAGGGAAAAGAGGCCACCAGAGCCAAAGGTGGCATTTGAATTTTTGGAGGAATTCTTCAGCAACTCTGTAAAGCATGTTTTTTAAGAGAGAAGGGAAGAACATGAGCTAAGGAATTAATAAAATTGTTCAGTCAACAAATAGTAAGGCTCTGAACCCATGGAAGTGATAGTAAGTAGGAGAAAGAAGGCCACATGAGTTTAGGCATGTGCTGAGTTCTCCTCCTGTGCCCTGCACCTGATGGAGAAGCAGGCAGGGGACTCCAGCCTTCAGGACAGCTGGGATGCCCAGGAGGTTTTATTTCCTAGGGCTGCTTTAAAAAATAAAACCCGTAATAAACCTATTCTTTTACAGTTCTGGAAGGGTCAGCAACACAATACCACGTTCCCTCTAAAGGCTCTCAGGAGAATCCTTTCCTGCCTCTCAGAGTTTCTATGGGTACCAGACTTTCCTCAGCTTGTGGCAGCCTTAAGCCAGTCTCTGCTTCTGTCTCCACGTGGCCCTCTCCTATGCCTCTGTGTCTCAGATGTCCCTCTGCCTCTTCCCTTATAAGAATATCTGTCCTTGGGTTTAGGGCCTACCCTATGTCTGGGATGATCTGGTAATATAGTTTAGTTTAGGTGTTGTGTTTAGTTTTGCCTGATGAGTTCTTAACCCAGTTTTGAGGCCCTGGCTGGTGGTAAATCCATTTCCCTTCATGAGCAGATGACGCCCACACTCCAGACCACTGTATACTTGCCCTAACAGCTCCAGGGCCAGATACCAGGTGATTGGGGAGAACCCATGTGTCCCCAGAACCCTTGAAATTATTCAAATTAGCCAATCCACAGGGAGCCCATGAGACCTACCTAACTCCAGGGCACTTGCCACACATGAGCTCTCCTAGCTGTACCCCATCTCCAGACACCCAGTACGGCCCATCTGACAGGCTTCTCTAGTTCAGAGCTGTAAATACTAAAAAGTTCTGCCTTCCATCGATCTTCATATCATTGTGTCATGTTCTATCATCAAAAGAAACTTCAAATCTTCCACAATAGATCTCCTCTCCAGATCCTTAATTACATCTGCAAAGGTCCTTTTCTCCAAATACACACTCGCAGGTGGACATGTCTCTTGGGGTGCTACATTTCAACCCAGGGCACCCTCTTTGAGAAAGCTGATAGCAGTTCTTAACCATAAGTTTAGGAGACTGGCTGGTGAAAGAGTGCAACTATGGACTTTGGTCTTGGGGACATAGACAGGAGACAGAGGACAGCAGAGGCCCGGGGATTCTGTGGGATCTAGGACTGTTGGCTAATTACACTAGGAGCTAGTAACCTTCTGAACAAAAACTGGATAACAGCAGAGGCTTAAATTCAACACCCCAATTCTACCCATAGAAATGAGGGAGAAGGCAAATCACTAGATAGACAAAGGAGAAGACAGTTGCTTCTTGTTATTTGGTCATTCTGGGCTCTTACCTGGCCCTCCTGAGGGAAATGTAGAATTGGGTTCCTAAGAAACACTGGCCACAACATTTTGATAATCTGATTGATGCATGACCTTGTGTGTTTACTGTCTAAAGACATTTTATTTAGTATATATTGTTGATTCATTAACATTGAACTCACAACCAACGGCATTATATCTCAGGGCTGAATGAAGCTTACCCACCACTTGCATTTCTCTGTAAGGAGTATTGCAGGCTTCTTGCTATTAGGAACAGTACATGGCACTTCAACAGCCTGTTTGGGAGCTGTTTGAAACAGCGAAGTCCCCGGTAAAATGCCCAAAAAATATGAACATGGCAAAATGGACCTCAAAAAAGAACACTTTTGTAGTAAAAGCTGAAATAATCAGGCAAAGTGTAGCACAGAGAAAGAGACTGAAGAGGGAAGAAGATCAAAAGAGAGAAATCGAAAGGGCTTCCCAAATCTAGTTAGTTTATAACTGAGCAAATAATGTTGGGAAACGAAACTGGTGAGGGAGGAGGGGAGCCTGCCCGGGAGGAGCTGCATCCGGGCAGAGGCAGTGGGCAGCTGGACCTCAGAAAGTTTTCTTCCCCTCCCCCTCCTCTTTTCCTTCCTTTCCTCCCAGCCAAGAGTACAGCTTTCCTCTTGGGAGATAGCCAAGGACACAGGTCAGTGGCTGCATTACAGGAAGAACCACCGTGTTCATAGACAATGCCTTGAAGTGTGGCCTCCAGGAATCTCGTCCACCTTCCCTGGGCTGTTGCCACTCTGGCGCTGGCCCCCTACTCTGCCCACCCCTCCTTCCTCCTCCTCCTCCTCCTGTGCCTCTTCAGGAGGAAGTGGTGTGATAGCAAAGCACCTCTGGGAAGAGGGTGGTGGCTTCTGGTTGGTCTGGAACCAGTGGCCTCTCACCCACCTAGAGAATTGTCACCTCATCTCCTGGAACAACATCAGCTTTGGTGGCCAAAGGGTGAAAGATCAGGCTTGGGATCTCCATTCTCCCACTCAGGCTAGGAAACTGGAGGCCACTGAGTCTGCAAAACACCCTTGAACTGTGACTAGTCATGAGTGAGGACCTAGAGGGCATGGAACAATGATGCTGGGATCCCTGCGAGGTCCCACAGTGGCCATGTCCTTCTTCTCTGTGTGTCTCTCCTCCTGGAGCATGAACACAGCATCCCAGTGTTTAAGGATTTTCAAATATTAGGACAGAGAAGAGCAACTATGACCTCCCTCCACCATTGCAGGGACTCCAGAGGTAAAAAGGTGCATTCCAGGTGAAAGGTAGGTAGGCAACAGAGACAGACTGAGACTGGTTCCAGAGCTGTCTTCTTTGGTCATATTTTGATAAAGCCATGAATTCTGTGTCTTTTGAAATGCCCTCTGGAGCCTGCTGCCAATCTCTGAACTTGGAAACTGACTCAACTGACCTCTGCCCCTGGGGCAGAGATCTGTCCCATGGTCCCAATCTAGGTCTTCACAGGGAGAGACATTCGGAGCCCTCATTCTCTGAAGTGGACAACCTCACCTCCTGCCACACACCTGTCAGGACTCCGGAGACCCCAACCCGCCCAGGCACACCATGGCGGACAAGAAGGGTCAGGACATAGAAGCATGGAGGCAAGTATTTCAGATGTTAATTCAGGAGGTGAAACCATGGCACAAATGGACCCTCACAGCAGACAAGGGCCTTCTTTCCAACGTCCTGCAGCCGGGCTGGATGCAATACCAGCTGTGGACTTTCGCCAGGTGAGAGGGGAATGCTGTGGTACATGTGCCAGAAAAACTCCTTGCTTTTTTCTGACTGTGCACACTTGTCTCCCTTCTTGTTCCACCTCAAAATTGTGTCACTTGATAGAGGTCCAAAGAGGTCCCCCAGAAGAGAGAGGGCGATCCCAAATCCACCCTGGCGGCTTCTTGACCTACATCACAGAAAAGAATTTGAGGATGAATCAGAAAGAGACACAAGTGAGATTTGATTAAGAAAATAAGGGAGACACAGGGAGAGAGAAAGAGTACAGGGTGTCTCAAAAATAAGACTTGCTTGGGAGGGTCTAAGACTCTTCTTTCAAAGGAAACTGTATGAACGTGAGAAGTATATAGGAGTGAGCTCAGTTCTTTTAATTACAGAGAAGAGGGCAGTTGGTGGTGGTCCAGTTCTCATCTTGTGAACATCTGGTTGATATCTGGTTAATAGAATTTGTACCTATATCATAGGTCTCTAACAATATTTTTCCTTTGTTTAGTCTAAAAAAAAAAAAAAGAGGTCGTATAAGCTAGCAATGTATGTAGGCATTAATACTCTAAGAATCATGGGATTTTAAAGAATTCTGGCCTGGGGAGCAAAAGTGAGGGTATTCGTGGACCTTCTTAGATTTGAAGTGTTAATCTCTTTTTCCTTCTGTTTATTTTTTTCTTTATTCTCGCTTGCACATTAAAGACTACAAAAAGAAAGAAGCCCATCCATCAAGTTTTGACTTCATGAAATATCTTCTTTCCCATCAGGCATGGTGCTGCATGCCTGTAATCCCAGAAACTCAGGAAACCCAGACAGGAGGATCATGAGTTCAAGGCCAGCCTGAGAGACTTAGTGAGACCCTGTCTCAAAATAAAAATAAAAAAGGGCTGGGAATGTGGGTTCAATCCCTAGTACCCCCCACCAAAAATCATTTTTCTTTATATAATTTCAGGCCTCAGCACTGGTTTGAGCTAATGTTCAGATAAAGAATTCAGTCTGCAGAGGTGGCAGGGGAGATGGGAGATGGGAACAGGGAGGAGGAATGGCAGCTGTTTCACTAAAGGGATGAGACACTTGTTCCCTGCCTTGGGAGACTGTGGGCCCACCTGGGTTTAGTGCAAGGAGACCCCTCAGGGAGAATCCAGAGGAGCAGGGTACTGAGCAACTCACATCAATCCTGCCCCCCTCTACTCTATGCTGATAGAATCTTTTAAAAATAGGACTCTGGGAGATCACCCAACATTTCACCCTTTCTTTTATAGATAGGAAAATGGGGCCCCAAAACCTGGGGGGAGGGGAGAAGGGCCCTGCCCACTACACAAGGAGTGGAGTCCTGGGATAAATCCTACCTCCTGCCCTCTCTGGGAGGGTCCAAGCAGAGGAGGTGGAGCTTCTCCTGGCCAGAGCAGGCATGGGGAGCCCCTGACCAAACTTTCAATCTGTTTGTTTGGAAGAACTTGGAACTCTGGGCTGGCACATTGTGAAGTGAAGCCAGAACACCATGACCAGGCCAAGGCACTGAACGGGCAGCTCAAGGTGGCCCAGTCCCCTGTGCAAAGCCAACTCATGCTGACTTCCAGCTTCTGGACATCCCAAGGCTCAGAGCTTCTAGGAGTCTTCCCCAAGGTTCATCCTCAGGTCCATTCCGAGAGGGCAGGTTAGAATAGAGGTGTGGGAGAGTCCACACTAACTTATTCTGCTCATTCCCCTCTAATTCCCCATCTCAGACTGCCGGCACCCCTGCATCAAGGCCAGCAAAGCTGGGCTCAGCTGCTGTGACAATACACCTAGATTTAACCTTGCACATGGCTCCCAAGTTCCCTGAGGGGAGAGCTGGAGAGTTAGAAAGAGCACATCACTGCTGCCTGTACTCCATGGACCATCTGGTCCCATGGTCCCCATCTAACTGCAAGCGGGGCTGGAAGTGGGAGGGTGAGCACAGATGTCTCTGCCATGCTGTGGCCCTCTGCCTGTCCTGTAATTCCTGTCGTGGGTGTACCATGTGCTTTCTGCCTTCTTTCTCTCCCAGTCCTAAGAGGTACTTGTGCAAATATCTTAACTCAGAAAATTACCCTCCTTGCTGAGACACGGTATTGTTTCCTTGAACCCTGTTGGAGGCCAAGGCAACATTCTCCAGACTACCTTGAGCAAAGGAATGGGGTTGAGGGGAGCAAAAGAAGACAGTGTTGCAGACAGTGATCTCCCCTGATGCTGTAGATCAGTGGCCCTGGGCAACCAAGGGCCTGCAAAGCTTCTCTCTAGGACAAGGACTTTTCAGTCTCTCTCCCTGATCTATCTGTAGCTTTGTGACCTAACCAACAACACCCACTGTTGTCACTCATGGACTTCGGCAGAGGGATCTTGGGAGTTGCTGCTCTGGTAGCCTTTGACCTGTTGGAATCTGTTGGAAGGATCCTTGGCTCAGGGTCAAGAGACTGGAGCTCCATTCCAGCCTCTTGTATTCACTGGGCTCTAGAGCATGGAGCTCCCAGAGGTGCCCCCATCTCTAATGAGGGCACATTGGACTTAGAAGGTGCCCAAGGTCCCATTCCCAGCCCAGACAGTTTGTGATAGACCATTTTGATCACAGCACTGTGCACTGGAGATGAGAACAAGGAGCTCAGTGGTTTCTTCCATTGCTAGTCCATGACCCCAACCCAGTCATGTCTCTGTTGTGTTCAGTGACTCCTTCCTCCCTCAGCAGCAGCCCATACTCTGGCTGAAGTTCCCATCTTCTATCTCCACAGGTTCCAGTGTTCTTCCTGCTCTCGCAGTTGGGCCTCTGCCCATGTCCAGGTCCTTTTCCACATGCACTGGAGTGAGAAGAAGCACAGGGGCCAGGTGAAGATGAGGGTCTTTGCCCAGAGATGTAAGAAGTGCCCCCAGGCTCCATTTGAGGTCCCTGAATTCACACAGGAGAACATCTCAAGGGTCCTGAATAACCTGGTGATCCGGATTCTGAAGAAATGCTACAGAGAAGGATTTAAGATTGTAGAGGAGATTCCTGCGATCAAGGATATCTGTCTTCAAGGGCCACATGACAGTCAAAACTGTGAGGCATGTCTGCAGGGATCCTGTGCTCAGAGTGGGTTGGGCCTGGCCAAGGAGTCACCAGTGCCCACGCCCTCCAAGGATGCTGGGGAACCCAGGCTAACTGCGGCTTGTACCAATCTCCCCTGCTCACCATCAGCCTCTAGAGTGGACAAGATCCTTACATCAGCAGTGAGCCTCAAAGTCTCTAACCCTCCCAAGGCTGACCCCAAGGTCAGACACAGCTCAGAACCACCAACTGCTCCAAGAATTCTAAACCCACAGGTGCCACCCATGTCAACAGTGAGCCCCCAAATCTCTAACCCTCCCAAGGCTGACCCCAAGGTCAGACACAGCTCAGAACCACCAACTGCTCCAAGAATTCTAAACCCACAGGTGCCACCCATGTCAACAGTGAGCCCCCAAATCTCTAACCCTCCCAAGGCTGACCCCAAGGTCAGACACAGCTCAGAACCACCAACTGCTCCAAGATGTCTAACCCCACAGGTGTCACCCAGGTCCACAGTGAATCCCAAAGTCCCTGACTCTCCCAAGGCTGACCCCAAGGTCAGACCCAGCTCAAAACCACCAAATGCTCCAAGATTTCCAACCCAACAGGTGCCACCCAGAAGCTCACCTCCTCCTGTGCGGGCCACTCGAATGCCTTCTCCCACAAAGAACAACACAGCAACAGATGCAGCAGCCAGGGTCACCAGACCAAAGACAGGAAATCTATTGCCCTCCTCCCCCTTGCTGGCTTTGCCCATCCGCCCTGCAAACTTCCCCACTTCTTGGAGCCCAGAAGCAAACACCACTTGCCAGATGGAGAGTCGAATCCAGATCTACCCCGAAAGTGGGCATTTCTATTCCAGCCCATCCCGGAATTGCGTATCAGGGTGCTTAAGCACTTCCTGCTGTTGTCTCCTTCTAATCATTGTTGTCGTTGTCACAATGATTATGGTAAAAAATACTTTCTGAGCCTCAAAAACCTGACACTAAGTGAAACAAGAAATTAAAATCTGGACATGAAATGTCACATATTAGTATGATCCCTGTGATATGAAATGTCCAAAAAATCCACAGATAGGAAGTAGATGGGTGTCTACTGGGGCCTGCAGGAAGGAGGAAACGAGAAGTGAGTTCTTAATCCATATGGGGGCTTTGTTTGAGATGGGGTGATGAATCTGTTTGGGAATGAGATGGAGCTGGGGGTTGCACCACAGAACCAATAAACTAAAAGCCATTGAAGTGGTCATTTCAAAAAGTTTAATTTTGTGATGTGACTCTCACCTCGATATTTTAAAAAGCACTATAGTTTTGTTCATTCTTGAGAGAACTGAATCTGAAGTGGTTAGAACTCAGAAATTTGGAGATCTTATGAAACCTGTGAGCCTTCTTACCAGTAAATTTTGCACAAACCCTCTGATATCAGTCTGTGGAGGCATTTGCAGTAAAGGCTTTAGGCTGAAAACCCGGGTACTCAAAAGACAGTGGGTGGGGCTGGGGTTGTGGCTCTGTGGTAGAGCACTTGCTGGGCATGTATGAGGCCCTGGGTTCTCAGCATCGCATATAAATAAATAAACAAAGTAAAAGATCCATTTACAACTAAAATATATATTAAAAAGACAGTGGACTCCACAGGGGTGCGTACAGCTAAGGGGTAAGGCAGGATGAGACACTGGGGAGGGGCAGGCATGAGGCACTGGGTTCAATCCTCAGCACCACATAAAAATAAAATGATGATATTGTGTCCACCTAAAAATAAAAATAAAAGTTTGTTTCATTTAAAATGTATTTCTTGTAGCATGTTTATAGTATGCTAATATATTAAAATTATATTGTAAATATTCATGTATGCATGAATTATACATATGCACACATTTGGAATGTACACTCGATGTCTTTTATTGACTGTATTATACAATAAAAAATGTTGAGGGGAAACGCATGTCTGCAATCCCAGCTACTTAAGAGGCTGAGGGATTGCAAGTTTGAGGCTAGCCTCAGTGACTTAGACTTATATTCTGTCTCAAATTAAAGTAAAAATTAAATTTTTAAAAAAGTTGGGGATAGGGCAGCTAAGCACAGTGACACATACCCTATAATCCCAGAGGCTTGGGAGGCTGAGGCAGGAGGATCACAAGTTCAAAGTCAGCCTCAGCAACTTAGTAAGACCCTGTCTCAAAATAAAAAATAAAAAAGGGCTGGGGATGTAGCTCAGTGGTTAAGTGGCCCTGGTACGAAAAAACAAAAAGGGGGTGGGCCATAGGGATGTAGCTCTGTGGCAGGCCGTCCCTGGGTTCAATCCTCAATACCACACTTGCAAAGTGTGTTTAATTCATATGGAACAATAATGACCAAGACTTGATGAGCAAGTTATGAAAAAATAGCCACAGGTAGGTCTTGCCTTAGCAGACATCACCGCTGTGATTAGAACATAGGATGCTAGCACAGAGACAGTGGCCTTGCAGAGCAAGCCAGAGCTGAGAACCAGCGCCAGCCAGTGCAGGCTGAGGACAGGCTATGGAGAGCTGAGAGGGGCCCCTGCAGGGTGGGTCCCTATGCTTGCAGAGCAGGAATGCAGTGGGCTGGACAGGACCTTGTTGGGACTTGAGTTCAGATGTAGTCAGGACCTCCCAGGTCTATTCCACTTTTGCTCAGCCCATGCTCTGCGGCATTGTTAGTTCCAAGGTGAGGTTTTCTGGTGGTCTCTCCTGGAAGCCCAGAGCTGTACCAAAGTCACCCAGCCCCATCTTACTGGGCTTTCCTTTGGGTTTCTGACCTCCTAGCACTCCTCCTAGCACCTCCATTTGGGATGGTCAGACAGGCGCGGGTGAGTCCAACACTGTTTACTGGGATATGTTTTCTTGAATTTGAGGAAGTTACAAAATAGTTGTTTAATAGAAACACAGGGCTAGGAAGAGTTCAAGGTTAATGTAAAAATTCCAGCTCTAGCCTTTAACCTCCAGCTGATATGTTCATTTTTTCTTGGAACAGCATCCTGTGAGTGCACATCTTGGAAATCAGCCAACTGACATGGGGGTGGGGGGGAATGGAATGCAGACTTTGGGGCCTCTTCTCTCTGTAGTTCCCTTCTCCCTGGGATTTCACCTTCAAATTCCAGGGGCTGACATAGGTTCAAATTTTGACTTCTATCTCCTTCTGTCAAACAAAACTCCCTCTTCTGCTTTGCTTTATTCCTTGGTTGAAATTTAGAAAGTCTCAAGCAAAACCAAGGTGTCTAGGACTTACCTCATGTGTGTTCCCCTTCTAAGGACTGCTCCATGGAGCCCACCCATACTAAGCACTCTCCAATGCTCTCTAACATTTTTCTTGGTTTTGCCCAGATTCTGATGGCTCTTTTTAGTGGAATTGGTCCAATCCTAGCCACAGCCAAAATCTGAAAAGGTTTTAGAATTGTTCGTATAAAATCTCAATAATTGAGTTCTCCAACTCCTCACCTGCAGGGTGCCCTCTACTACAGGAGTAGAGATGAACTCTAAGCTAGCTCAGATCATTGCCCTTAAACATTACCTTCATCTAGGGCAGTCGCATCAAGATAGAGACTCTCAGCCCCAGATGCAATTTAACATTTTCCAGTGACCAAATTTTTAAAAGGAAAAAAAAAAAAAACAGGTGAAACTTATTTTTTAACCATTTTATTAACAAAAATGTATGAAAATACCATCATTTGAACATGTGATTAAGATCGAAATTCTTTATTTTATTTTATTGTGGTAGTGGAGATTTACTGTGGGGGTGTTTAACAACTGAGCCACTTCCCAGCCCTTTTATTTTTATTTTTTATTTGGGGACAGGGTCTCACTAAGTTGCTTAGGGCCTCACTAAGTGCTGAGGCTGGCCTCCAACTTGCCATCCTCCTACCTCAGCCTTCTAATCACTGGGATTATGGGCATGCACCACTGCACCTGGCTCAAGAGCAAAATTCTCTCTCTCTTTTTTTTTTTTTTTTTTTTTGTACCAGGGATTAGACTCAGAAGCACTCATCTACTGAGCCACATCCCCAGCCCTAATTTGTATTTTGTTTAGAGACAAAGTCTCACTAAGTTGCTTAGCATCTCACCGTTTCCAGGTTGGCTTTGAACTCACGATCCTGCTGTCTCGGCCTCCCAAACTGCAGGGATTACAGGCATGCGCCACCATTCCCGGCTCAAGAGCAAAATTCTTAGTGAGATATTTTAAAGATATTCTTTTTCATACTAAATCTTTGAAATCGAATGTACATTTTACACTTATAGCACGATTTTTTTTCCCATAGGAAATACTGATCTGTTTAGACTTCATAAAATTTATAACTAAAGACAGATTTGCCTGCCATGTTGTTCTAAACATAATGACAGTTGTTCAATAGAACAGAGAACCCATTTAAATTTAAATATAAAGTAATATTTTTAGAATCTATTAAATTTAAATGTCAAGTAATATAGTAAAATCAAATTAAATAGCCTTTCTTCAGTCACACTAGCCACATTTAACAGGCATGTGAAGCTGATGACCACTATAATAAATAGCACAGATCTGGGACATTTGAATGAAAGGAGACTTCACATTATTATTATTATCACCTGTCATAAGAATCCTCACTCAAGGGAACTGCAGGAAGTTTCAAATATTTCTGATGGGGGCAATAATTGATTAGCATACATGATATTAGAAATGGCTTTTTGTGGACGAAATAAGTGGCGTTCATGGTATGTGATTGTATAGGTACATCCCCCTCCCCTATAAATGGGGTACGAGAATCTCAAGAGCCCAGGGTCCCCCACTTTGAGAAGGATGCTTCTGCTTAAAATCCTGGCCCTGTGTTCCCCACTGAGCAGAAGATCTCATGGCCTGCTAAGTTTCTGCCATCAGAGTGTAGTCAGTCGGCCTGGGTGGCAAACTGAACCCAAAGACTCTCAGCCATGACTGGGGACATGCTCACCAAAGTTCATCCTTTGGCAGAATACACTCCCTACTGCTTGGTATCCAGTTTTGTGGAGAGCAGCCTTCTGCTGAGAAACACAAGGGAGAGCCTGGTTATTTGGGATGGTCAGACAGGCGCGGGTGAGTCCCACACTGTTTACTGGGATATGTTTTCTTGAATTTGAGGAAGTTACAAAATAGTTTAATAGAAACACAGGGCTAGGAAGAGTTCAAGGTTAATGTAAGAAGTGGTCTTTCCTTAAAAGTAATTTGGTTATTATTCCTCAAAGAAATATCCAAGGAATTTCTCTCTCAATGTCAGTCTTTTATTTGTAGTCACCCCCATCTTCCTCTTTCTGCAAGCTCAGATATCACTCTCGAAATTCATGTCATACATAGCTCAGAACAGCCTTCTCAAGTAATCAGGGTTCTCCAGAGAAACAGCGTCAACAGGATGTACAGAAATCCATGAGGGAATCGATTATGGAAGTGGGCTCACGCGATGACAGAGGCTGAGGAGTCCCATGATCTACCGTCTGCAAACTGAAGAACTAGGAAGACAGAGATTTAATTCAGTCTAAGTACAAAGGCTTAAGAATCAGGGGGTAGAGTTCAAATGGCCATCCCTAGGTCCAAAGGCCTGACAGTCCAAAGCTCTAATGTGCAAGGTCAGGAGAGCAGGAGCAGATGGGTGTCCCAGCTCCAGAAGACAGTGAATTCACCCTTCTTCCTCTGGTTCATGCTAACCGGGCCCTCTATGGATTAGATGATGCTCCACCCCGACACTGGTGAAGACAGGCTTCTTTAGCCAGTCCATTGAGTCAAATGCCAATCTCTTCACAGAAATGATGTCTTCCCAGCTAGCTGGGCATTGGGTCACTCAACTTGACCTCTAACATACCATCACACCTTCGTGGTCTTAACCTTTCCAGCTCATGTCTAACTAGGTCCTGAGCCTGTATTTCATCTCCTCAAATTTAGTAAGAGGTAAGAAATGAGCAAGTATTTTCACAATGTTTACTCTTTTTTTTTTCAGTTTTTCAAGCTATTTTGCTTGTATATTTTCCTGTATATATTATAGAATCAACTCTTCTAGGTTTAGGCAAAAACGTTTATTGGTATGTTACTGTGATTACATTAAGCTTACAGATTAATTTAGGGAAAATTGAAATAGGTAGCCAGTAAAACATTCCTATCCAGGGATATGGTATATATTCCAATTAGCTAAAGGGTTTTGTGTCCTTCATATATAATTTTTTGTTTGTTTGGTTGGTTTTTGGGGGGTTTGTTTATTGGTTTTTTTGTTTTGTTTTGTTTTGTTGTACCAGGGATTAAATTCAGAGGCACTCAACCACTGAGCCACATCCCCAATCCCTTTTTTGTATTTTATTTAGAGACAGGGTCTCACTGAGTTTCTTGGGGCCTCACTAAGTTGCTGCAACTGGCTTTGAACTTGCAATCCTCCTGCCTCAGCCTCTTAGCCTGCTAGGATGACAGGCTTACACCACCGCACACAACTCATTGTGTTTTAAAATCTTCCACATATAGGTTTTTATATACATATTATCAGATATTTTATTATAAATTTATTTTACTTTCCCATTGAATCTTCTAGCTGTTATTGCTATATATGAAGGCCTTTGCTCTCTGTTATTTTAAATCTCACAATTCTGCTGACTTCTTTTAATTTTTATAGCAATGCTTTAGCTGATTCTCTTGAGTTTCCCACGTAAACAATAACATCATCTGCAAAATGTTCTCATTTTACCTCCTCCTTTCCAATCCAACATTGATATCCCTATTTTCTTTCTCTTCTCTGCTTA